AAAGAATGGGTAAAACAACCATGAGCCAAAAGGGAAGAAATATATTATAAGGGAAATGGAATATCCAACAGATTTATTAGTAGATAATACAACGAAACCTCCCCCAAACAGGAACAGAAAGCCTTAAGAACAGAATAGGGAGCTGGGTGTGGAGGTTCACACCTGCAATCACCACACTAGAGACTGAGAAGGATTCTGAGTTTGAGGCACATCTGGACTTCAGACAGACCTTGTCTCCAACAACAACAAAAAACCAACATGACTGCAGAGGAGGTGGTATGAAGGCATAGAAGAGGAATAAAATAAACGTGGAAGGAAAATTAAAATTTTCCACTCTTCTACTAAAAAGCAAAAGCTAACTTGAGAAACTCACTAAAGCACAGTGCCATGGATCTGGGCTAGCCACATGTCAAGTGCAATATCTACTATACTGACCAGTGCAGGTTTAAAGGGATTATACTGAGTGCAATGTCACATAGCTAATGAGTAGAACCAAAATTCAATTGTAGGTCCTTCTTTCTCCAAAGCCTGTATTGCTTTTCCCCTTTGAGGAAACTATCAGAGGTAAATGTACCTGATCCTCAAGTATTTGATTCATACTAAAATCCTGACTGAAGAATAAAACTTATGGCTGTTCAAATAAATGTTTTAAACACATACAACACATATGTATAATGTGATTATACAAACAAATATCAGTTTCAAAAGAGAGAAAAAAAGTAAATTTTAATGTTTAGGTCTATCCACACAGATTATAAAAATGATTTTTTAGATCTGGGCATATTATAGCAACATTCATGCATATTATAACCAATTCCTATTTGGGGTACTTTAAAAACACAAATGCTAAAAATGACCATAATCAATACGAAAGTACATATTTTACATTTTTTGTAAGTATCACCTTAAAGGTTTATATTGATAGTTTGAAAAGTGGCTGATGAAAACATGAAATTCATACAACCTCATTTATATAAATTAAAACATTAACCAAATATAGTATAAATTTCTTAGTAATCAGTGGCTATGCAACCCAGACACCTAGAAATTATCCTGGACTCCCTGCTCCTCCTGCCTTAGTACCCATATTCAACCAACCCCCCCACTGTCTATAAAACCTAATAGTTCAACATCTGTTGACTCAGCTTCTTTTCTCCCCTAATTCTCTCCTTCCCCATTGTTACCATATTATTGTAACTAAACACCCTCTGTGACCTAAACTTCCTACCTGGTTATCCCACTCCACCCCCTCACCCCCCTACACAAAAGTGATCATATATAATGTTTTTAAATTTAACATTATCATGTCATTCCTGTGCCTCAATGACTTCCCACAGGATGCTTAGAATAAAGATCAAAACACTTAACTACAAATGCTCTAGCATCCAGCCTAAAGGTGCAAACTAAACTATAGCCAGGTTGAATACTGATTCATGATGTTTACTTATTTGACATCTTAATTGAGTGGCATAAAACAGAGAACACATAGCCCTCAAGAGGGAGCAGCTGGGTGTTACCATCTGAAAATAAAGACCTGAGTATTGCCCTAGCCTAAAAAAATTTTTTTTTTAATTTTTAAGAGAAATCAGAAGTTCAGACTTTTATGTGAAATCTGATTTATGAGTGCTAGCAACTAATTCACTGTTGTAACTTCTTAAGGAGACCCAAAGAACTTGTATGTGGCCAAATTTGGCTTCTCATCTGTTCTCCTCACCTGGCCCCATAGCTGCTCTCCACATAGGTCATTCTGAACATTCCTCAGACCCCCAGTGACACCAAGCTTTTTCACCTTAGGGCTCTCATCCTCTGCTTCTATCACATCTCCCCTCCTCCCATCACTACTTCACTCACATATCTTCCGGTTTCTGGGCACTGCTTCCTCCATGAAGCTTTCCCATTCTCACTACTCTCCACCCCACTCCACATGCAAGGTTACTCCATTATGTGCTCTGATTGTTTTGAGAACAATTTCAAATCACTCATTATACCTTGAAACCAAAATTACTTATTTAAAACCCATAACCCCCCCTAGACAGTAAACTCCAGATAAACAGGGCCTGACACAAATGACATACCATATATACTTGTTGCTAACTAATAGCTTGGTTATAAAATGTTCCTTTAGGCAATAAAGTGTACTTTTAAAATCTCACACCATACCGCTGGTGGCTCACACCTGTCATCCTAGCTCCCTGGGAGGCAGAGATCAGGAGGACTGCTGTTCAAGGACATCCTGGGCAGATTTCACAAGACCCCATCTCAAAACACTCAATACGGGCAGGGGGAGAGATGGCCCAAACAATGTCTAAACATATGAGTAAGTGAATAAACGATAAAAAAAAATTCTCAAGACAAAAAAAAAGTCTAAACATATGAGTAAGTGAATAAACGATAAAAAAAAATACTCAAGACGAAAAAAAAGCACGACGTAGTAAAGCACCTGCCTAGCAAGTATGAGGTCCTGAGTCCAAACCCCAGTACTGCAAAAAAAAAAAAAAAGAATTACACCATACCCACTTTTTAAAGTACATATACAATACTTAAACTTTAGTGGACTAAGAATTAAAAGATAATTACCGATAACAGTAGTTAACGTTTATTAATAATTGTCTAAGTGCATGTATTACCTTACTCAGTACAACAACCTGTAAAGTAGATGCCACTATCCTACAGAGAAAGCAACTTAGGCATGGAGTGTAAAATTCACTGAAGTTCACACATGCAATCAGTAGCAAACCACAGTATGAATCCATGGGGTCTGGCTTCAGAACTTTAAACACTAAACTGCTCTAGTAACTAATTCACTAATAAAGAAACACCAGTCCAGCAGGTATCCCTTAAGTACTGTTAATAAAAAGTAATGGTCATAATTTATCTCCTATTACTTATTAAAGGTGGTTTCTCATCCCTCTATCCTGTATCCTTACACACTCACAATTAAAATAGTCAATATTTTATCTTCTAAATTAAGAAAGGTCTTTTATCCACACCCAAAACAGGTATGCTCTTAGTACCAAATAATTCTGTAATAATCTCTTTTTGAATTATTTTTAAGTTAAAATTTACACATTAATAATTGAATGTTTGTGCTTCCATATTCTAAATTTACACTTAATTTAAAATGTATTTCCTTGCTCAAAGTAAAAGAATTCTTATCTATGTTTTTGGATAAAGTAAGCAAAAAAAAAAATACTAAGCAAATAAAAATATAAACTGATATAACCACAGAAATATACACAGAGATAATACAGAGATCCTTCCCTAACTAAACTCCTCACTATCTGAATTCTCCTTTTCCAAAACTTGGTAACCAAACAGATTCCAAAAAATTCTCACATGCATCATCTGTACCCGTACTTTTATTGTCCAAATCAAGGCTCTGTCTCACTGACCACTCTCTGCTGTCAGAAGTCTATAACCAATCTCCCACTCCAAACTCAGGAACCCAGGAGTTTTACACAGCAAAAGTATCCATTCATGGCCTACATAATTTAAGAATTTTTTTAGGAGATTTCAGCAGTCTTTTAAAAACTGAATGAAGCGCACATATTTATAATCTCATTCAAATTTTTTATTTTAGTTTCAATTACCTGAAAAAAATCTAAATTCTCTAAATGTAAATCTCTTTAAACTAAAAATTGGCAATTTTTTTAAACTTTTAGCTCACACAAAATATAAAGGAAACTGCTTAATATATGATAGTTTACTGTAATAGTTAAATAATGTTAGTGCATAACTGCTGTCAAAGACCTCTGATGTCAGTCTTGAATAATGAATTTCTTTCAAATATTCATCATACCGTCATACATACCACAGGAAATAAAGCATTCAAGGAAAACCACTTTGCTAATTTTTCAGTAACATATTTCTCAAAAATCACAAAAAACAAAGGGCAAAATTAAAGAAACAAATCTAAAAGTACAAAAGTTGAAAATGGCAAAAGATCACATTAACTTACAGAAGAATGATATGAAACAGTATTATGACTACTCCATAGGTTCAATCACAAGTCAAAAGCCATCACCAAGTAATGGATTCACTAGGCTGGGAAACAGGAACAGCTTCAGTCCAGCAGTGTATCTGCCCAAGTGTTCAACTTAGGCTCACATTTGAACCTAAGTTTTTTCAAACTAAATTAAAACTAACATCAGTTGAAAACTGAGCTCAAGTTCTTTTTCACATGCTCAAGAATTATTTTAAGAAATAGAGATAAGAGTTTGAAAGAAGTAAAGCTACTTCCCAAGTCTCCTTTGAGTAAAAATATATGTGATTAAAAGGGACTGCAACTAGAGCTTCCATTTCATCCTAATTCGACTATCCTCCCCCCAGGATCTCACTTCAGATATGACCTGAGATCATGTGAACCTCAACTGACCAAGGCTTGACACAGCCCACCTCTTACATTCAAACAAAAGATCACAGCAAATTTAATGAGGGAAAAACTACATTTTATCCACAAGATTCAAAGTGACTTCACCTTGATTACTTCCATAAGGAGCCCAAGCACACATCCTGAAGAATGACAGGCTGTACTCTGTTCTGTCCATGCTTGCCATCCAAAACCCGGAGTCTCCACTAAGATTCTAACTGCAAGCTGGAGAAGGACAGTCCTCTGGGTGGGCAGAGCTCACAGGCGCTGTCAGGATTCAATGCACTGATCTTACATGGTGCCACTGTGACTGCATGCCACATGCAGGCGCAGCGTATGTCACTATTTCTCTAGGTTAAATTTTCATCCTTCCATTCCCATTGTCCACATCAAACAACTCTGAACACATGTTTCTCCCATAAAAAGCGGAAGAGCTGGACTCCAGGTGGGACACCAGCCTATGGGTCTACTAGTCAGTTGTGACCTAACAAGTCTTACAACCCTTACATTTTACTGAAAGAGACAGAGATGAGGGGAGAGAGGAGAGACTGATTTTGATTGACGGATAAGATGCAATCACCGTACCTTGCTCTGCCCAATACTAATACCCGAATTTCTGAAATCAACCAACCTGTGTCTGTGTTCATCAGGTCCGTGGATCAGGAAGACTCCAGGGTTTTTAGCCCCTTTGCCAGCATCTACGTGAGGAATTAACACATCTTCTAAACCCAGATCAAAGCGTTTGTGTTTTGAAGAGTCTGGAAGGAAGAAGAATGCCCCAAAACACAGGGTGACGAAGGCACTAAGGATCAGGAGAAGAATAAACTTCTCGGAAAGTCTCAAGGTAGCCCTGTGATGCGGGAAGGAGGGCGGCCCCAGGTTCAGAGGTGGAATCCTGCGTCCAGACAGGGGCAGCAGGGCTGGGGTAGTCATCGCTTAGGCTGTTGGGCAGAATATTTCACAAAGTTCTCATCTTATGCCAAATGTACAATACATGGAACCGTCTTCAAAAAAGAAATGGATAAACTCAACCGTTCTCCTCCTAAAGAATTCTTGTGCTTTTGGGGTTTTCTGTATTCAAAAAAAAAAAAAAAAAAGAGGGCACCTCTCACGCTCTCCAATTACCCCAAAAACCTGGGTGACCTCTCCAGCGACAGCCAGCTTGTGTCCCGTAATAGCGCCTTGCCATCTGGCTTTCAGAACCTCATCGGGTGGCCATAAGTCTCCTCTTCATTCCCAGGAGCAGACCGGGCGAGCCACACTGCAGAAAAGCTGCAAGGTGGCTTCTTCCATTGCTGCACCCGCGAGATGCTCAATCGGGGTTCCCTCGCCCCAGAAAGGAGCTTGGCGAGCTCCCGGGACGCCTCTGTCGCACAGTGCCCAGCCTCGGCAGTCCCCAACAAGGGAGGAAGGTGTCCACCGCGCTGGGAAGCCGCGGCCGGCGCGCGCGGGGAGGATGGGGGTGGAAGGAGCCGGCGGGAGCGGCCGACCACCCGCGCGTCCCGCCGCCACCGCCGCCGCCGCCGCTCCACGGGCTCCGGGGCTCGGCTCCGACGCCGCCCGCTCGACGGCTGGCACGCGGGGCGGTCGCGTCCCCAACACCTCGGCCCTCCGAGCCGCCGCCGCCGCCGCCGCGCGCGCGCGTCTGTCAGCCAGCGGAACTTCCTCCTCCCGCGGCCACGGAGCGGCCTGGGCGCGCGCGGGGGAGGGGACGGCACGGGAGGGAACGGGAGGGAAGCGCTGAGGCCGCCCCCACTCGGCTCCTCCTCCAGCTCGCCGCGGCCAGCTCAGGGACCCGGGGCGCCTGCTCCGTAGCCGATCCCGGCCGCCGGGCCCGAATCCCCGCGCCTCCGCGGCGTGGGAGGAAGCCGGGCCGCGGACCTCGGTCCGAGAACCCCGGGCTGGCGCCTGCTCATTCCTCGCTCCGCCCTGGCGAGGCGGGCGGGCGGAGGTCTGCACCGTCTCCTTCCTGCCGCTGGGCTGCCACGGGGGCCTCCTCCGCGCTGCCTCCCGGTGGCTGCGGCCCGGCCCTCGTCCCCAGCCCGCTGGAGGCCTACAAGAGCGGGGAACGGCCGCGGCGCTGACACTCGTTGGGCGCACGCCTGCTAGGAGCCAGTTGGGGGACGACGGGGCGCGGGCCGGCCTGCCGCCCCGACTCGCGAGTGGGCGTCCCCGGGCGGCGGAGTGTGAGCTGTGCGCGCGCACGCGCCCGGCCCCGCCGCCGCCGCCGCCGCCCCTCCCCCGCCCGGCGCTCCGGCCTCGCGGCCGCGGGCTCCCACCGCCAGCACAGCGCAGCGCGCGGCCCCCGGAAGCGGCCGGCCGGGACTCGGAGGCCGCGCGCCGCACGAAACCCCCGGGGTCAGAGGTCGTGCCTCCTGTAGGTGGGGTCGAGCCGGCGTGGGCGCGCGGCCGGGCTGGAAACGGACGGCCAAGGGTAACGCTCGCTCTTGCCGAGGCTGTGGAAGGCTGGGCCTCGGTGCAGAACGGAGTTCAAGGACAGGGTTCCAAACTTCTGCCCTGCAGACCATGTGCACGGAGTTGGGCGCCCAGCCACGTGCCCCGCTCTGTATTCGGAGTAAAATGGCAGCCTTGCCCTTTGCAGTGGTAGGTTCGTTTCCGAGGAGTCCGGTTGCCCTCATATGACAGAAGGCTCCTCATGGTTCAGCTTGTCACCTGTCTACCACCCCTCCCAAAAAAAAAAAAGAGATAATACAGGTGCTAAAATCCAAAAAGACAAGATTGTTTAAATTCAGGCTTCAAAAACGATCTGAGTCAATTCTGTTGTCCCTAGTATTGTGAAGAACCACGTTGTGATTAAGTCCAAAAGGTTCCCTAACAATACCTGGGTATTCTTCCATCTGATTTGCTTCCGGATTATTTTTATTCTAATACTCAGTTGACATTCCCTGAACATATCCACACTGATGATTGGGAAATGGAGAAGAGGCCCTTACTTGGCAAGGTAGGGAACAATTAACCTTCGATTTAAAAAAAAAAAAAAGTCTCATGTTCGTTGGCACAATTAAAGAGTACATTCCAGTCTGCATGATTACCACACCACAAAAGAAGTCATTGTCATTGACAATGCTTTATAAAAGAAAACGACTAAATAAAAAAATGTCAAGGGCCATCTCTCAAGAATGCTCAATTCAAAGTGAGATACCTGTTGGACACCTGGGAAGAGTGGATGTCAGAAATTCTTGCCTTCCCGAAGTGTCCATAAAATATGCCTATTTTATGACTAAAGTCTTCAATGTTGAGACTCTGAGCCAAAGGAAAAGACAAACTTTGGCTTCCTACTGTTGAGGTCATGTTCCAGGAAAAGTTAAGGGAAAATACTGACCTCTGAGTTAAGTAGCAAGTTATATAAATCTTGAAAAGTAACTATTACCTAGGTTGGTACCAAATTGCAAACCACAAGAAATAGCAATCAGATGAAACTTGCCATGACCTAGTTGACAAATGTGTCTTTAGCAAGTTCAACCTTGTAGCTGGTGGAGGAGTCTTACATGTGCCCTTGCTTGTTTTGCAAAATTTGTTTTTTCTTTCATGAAAGTAAAAGCTGCGTTATATAAGTTGGAGGGGTCCTTGCAAGTATCCAAATGCAGTCACAGTTGATGCCAACAGTGATCTTTTACACACACACACTTCTAGAGACATGACTAAGTTTTTAAAAGAAACAGTATTGTTTATTTAAAAAGTAAATTACTTTATTCATTATAGTTACAATTATAGAAAATATGAATATAAAAGTAAAGGGGAATATTTGAAAAAGATTATAGCTCTTAGGATATTGATATTACTTGTGATTTTCTTCCATGTGTTCTGTTTGTGTTAAATTTATAACTTAATAAATTTATAAAGAAACTGATATTTGAGAAAGTTAAGGTCGGATTTCAATCTGTGGACAGTTAAATCAAGGTGAACACACAGACTGGTCCATCTGAAGACATTCACAGCAAGCAGAGTATGTGAACTGACGTGTGTGTGTGTGTGTGTGTGTGCATATACATGTAACAGGATTTCATCCCAGAGAGTCTAAACAGACTCATTTTCAAAGAGTAGCAAGGCTTTGATCAAAGGTGTAGACAAGATTCCAAAATAACAGATAAAATAGTGATTTTCCTTTTACAAATCCATATTAACATTTTAGGAGATTAAAATTATTAAATTATTAACAAAACAAAATTTACTCCTACAAACTTAATAGGACTGCTCTAAGATCCACTCATATTGCAATATTGTTTAATCCTATATTGACTTTTCTATTATCAAAGTAATTTTAACACCTATTATACACGCATCATCATCTAGCCCTGTTTTAAATGAAATAAGTCATATACTAGAGAAAAATACATATAACTGGTGTGCAAAAAATGCTTTAGTTTCCTTACATAAACTGTTTCTTCATAGTTTTACTGGTTCCCACAGTGTCCAAGGACAATGTTGGGGGAAAAAAATCACCAGACACGACCAGTGAATGTGTAGGGAAATACCGGGCTCTGGCTGTGCTCTTTCCACTCTTTTCCTGTGTTTTCCTCAAAGATCAGGAAAAACTTGTAGTTCAAAGATACAAAACAAGTTAGTTCCATAAACGTCAGCAAAGCCAAAAAAGCCTGGGCTGCCTCTCAAAGCCAAAGTACCTCAGGATCATGTGCTTATAAGTGACACATTTGTTGAGGGATTACTGTGTGACAAATCCTCTAGAAAGTACTAGAGATATGGAGAAAGAAGAATCTTCATGCTTAATGAGCTTGTGTGTGGGTTGTGGGTGGGTGTGTGTTGGGGAAGGTGGGTAATAGATGAACACTAGTGATTATAAGACAGTGAGAAGAGTGGCTGTTAGAATAAAGTACCAGGGGCTTATGGGAACACCAACAGAGCACTATAGTGAGGGGAGATGGATGAGAAGTAGGTCAGGAAAGGTTCTTGGATCAAGTATCACCTGAGCTAGGCCTTTAATTACTAGAAGGGTTATGTTCCAACTAAGGAGTAGAGCTTGCACAGGCCCAGAGCTGTATTTTCCTCCCAGTTATCCACAACCCTCCTGGTTTTACTCTTCCAATAAATGGCTTGCCTACCCCCAATTTCCCTACATACTTTTCTTGAGCTGGGAAAGTGAAAATGGTGGAACAGTGCTATTACCTGCATCACAAGTAAAACGAGTTCAGAATGACTAATAGGTATCATAAACATATTACTGTAATCAAAAGACCAAGATGGGGCTGGCAGAGTGGCTCAAGTGGTAGAGAGCCTGCCTAGCAAGCATGAGGCCCTGAGTTCAAATCCCAGTACTGCCAAAAAAAAAGGAAAAGACTGAGATGGCATGGCATTCTTGCTTTCATAGACAGTATTATGTTATTTCAGGCAAATGTTTTATCTTTTTAAATCCATTAATAAAATGAGGCTATTCACACATGGACAGAGTACTGTACCTAGTAGTAAAATACATAGATTTCAAACCTAGCTCCACTCCTTACTGAGTTTCAGGATTTATAGAACATAGAATAATCTGCCTATTTTGTAGGACTGTTTAAGGATCAAATGACCTATTTCCAAAATACTCTTAAAAACTTGTTTGCTCAGTACAAAACAATAGGTTATGTGGTGGTTATAGCATCTGTGTGACATGGAGACATTAGTACACTTAGTATTCCTCTGGGAAACTGTCCTTTCCCCAATCTTAGTCTTTGGTTCTAGATTGGGTTGCCTACAGTGGAGCAGAGAAGAGCTGAGACACTAGAAGGCTAAAGTAAGACTAAAGTATCCACATGCTGAGTGCTTGACTCAGGGGTAGAGCAGGGCTCTGAATGGTAGCTAGGGTGCCCAAAAGCACCTAGTGATTCGTTTCCTTGTGTCCAACCAGCAAGGCACTCAGAGGCCACTGCAGCCATGATTCAAGTATGTCCACAGTATTGTCAATGCAATACTGGTTTTGCAGGCATGCAAAATGCAAGAGGTACAGGATCATGGAGACTTGCACCGAGACAGAAAAAAGAAAGCCTGGGAGGCAGGCAGTGCATGACAGGGTCAGAGATGCCAGCAATGTGGAATGTCTGCTGAGGGAA